TAACAATAATGATAGTATCGATAATAATGATAATAATAACAATAATAATAATAATAATAATAATAATGATAATAATAACAATAATAATAATAATAATAATAGCAACAATAATAACAATAGCAAGAATAACCAACTTAACAACCCTGTATTGAATATCTTTCTTAATCAGATGGAATTCATCTCGGAATGACCAACGCAACGATTTGTCTTGTGCAGTTATCCATTTTCGACCATCCACCACTAGGATGAATAAATAAAAATTATTGGATGAATACATTCGAATTTAATCACTAAACTGAAGCAGTGAAATGAAAGGGCAACTCTGTTCCGAATATGCATCAATTCTTACCGAATCTTCGTTTGATTATATGTTCATTGTCACTGTCATCGTCTCGATCACAAATCTTCATCCCGTCATAAAGCATTCCAACTATCGGCGCACTGAAATATGTACGCGTGCTCAACTGATTATGCTTGTCGTCATCTCAAATATTTAATGAATGATTAGAAACGTTTAATTTCCATTATCACGACGCATCAATCTTCAACGGAACAGCGAAACAATCTCAATTCTTTGAAATTTTGACAGCGTTCCAAAATTGAGACGTATGAAAAGAATATGGCATGGCAACACTAGAAAAATCAGCCGAATGCGACTCAAACTCATCTGCTTGAGTGAGGCTTAAAATTTGCATACACGAAAGAACGATAACAAGATTATGCTTGGCTCAGGCTCAGATCCAGGCTGAGAGTGGGAACAGCTGATTTGGATGACTTCTACAGTTTGTCGGTAGGTTTCTTCCTAAATGGTTTTTAAGAGATGGATTGTATTCCTGCTCAACTTCTTGGATACGTCCATGAATAATAATATATGTTTCAGAATTTTATTTATCATTCATCAGAGAATGAATATTATTGCAATCACATAAGCACTGTGTAAAACACCTCTATAATGAAATGTATACACGACAGAACGATGCGATTAAACGAACCTCATTGCTTGATAAAATGTCAGGATGAACAACAGAATGTGAATATACTTCGTGAATAACATTCTCAATAAATAACAACTCGGTTTACAATCAGCAACAAACAAGGCAGCAGCAATCATGAATATCGATAATAATCCATCGACTATCCACAATTTATCAAATGACCTAATTCCGAGATATCTTCATCCCTGCCGGTTTCTTTATGAGATGAATCAATGGAATGATTAAATTAGTCTCAATCTCATCTACCTATCGAACAATCAACCAACCAGCAAATCCAGTGGATATGAGCATGTCGAAGGATCAATACACCATCATTATTTCGAAACTAATCTATTGAATAGGCAGTAAGACAATGAAATGAAATAATATCACAAACCATAACGAAAATAGTGTTTCACGCTTACGAAACATGCAGATGGAAAGATGAAGGAAAAAAGGATCGAAATTCAGAAGTATTTGATCATCGCTGCGTAAAATTAGTCATAAGAATGAAGTAGAGAGGTTTAAAAAAATAAGACGTCTTTAGAGTCGAAAAAATAGAAAAGTGATATGCGAACAATGACTATGTTGTCTAGATCATCTAACGCTACAACCCAATAAGAGCATACCGCATTAATCGCTGCGATATGCCCACTAGGTGCTTGGAAAGAGCGTCGGATGCATCAGATGTGCACTTGGCTTGACACATTAAAAAGAATCTATCAAAAAGCACAGGTTTTTGCTAGTAAAGTATGGAAAGCAAGATGAATGGAGTTCGCTGAAGGCATTGACCTTAACAGAAAAAAGTATCGCGGAGTAACGTTGAAACGTTATTCCGTGTTTAAACAGTGGTGTAATACTGGTTTATAAATCCATTCGTTACCCTATTGATAGCGATATTCGAACTCTCTTCCAGACGGTCATTGTCTCAACTATAGGTGATCCACTAAAAACCTATTCACTAAAATTTTGAAATTTCTTCACCTCGGACATTCATGATGCATGCAATCGTCTCCCACAGCAGTGGTTGAATGATAACCGATTTGTTTTAACTGATTTTATGATAACACTAAAACTCCAACTCAGGAATCAAAACGGATGCTTATTGTGTCTTTCAATTGCGCATAAATAGTATAAATAACAAGAGGCATATTAAAGCTACAATTATGTTGAAAGACTGTCTACAATAATGTCGTAGGATATTACTGTTGTTCTTGTCTCAAATTCACGATAAATTCTTATGTCTCATAANTAAGCAAGCAGCACACTGCGACTTACTGGAGTATATGAAGGCGGTTAGTAAGCAATAGACTTTTGATGTTTTCTGCTTTGAAGGATCTGTATTCGACATGCAGCGGTCATTGTATCAATCAGTTATATTCGTCTACGCGTTTCCTTAAGGATTTAGACAGTCCTCAATTATATGCAGCAACTTATAACTTTAGCTATCTATGGGGAACACTGCTTACGCACCGAACAAGTTCTATTAGAAGCCTTAACGAATAGTTCACGAAAGTTGTTATCCTTATGATGATTTTTCGCATTATGATGAACAATAATGATACAATAGCAGTAATAATAGGTAAATGATGCGATAAAATTAACAAAAAGGTAATAATGCAATAATAATTAGATATAGGGAACAGTAGGCAACGACATTGTTTCTTTCGACTGTGATTAACGAATTTCTTTGAGATATCATCGTGAGCGTCACCCAATAAAAGAAGGAAAAACCAAACTGAACTGTAATAAAAATTTTATTTGCATACTTAGTTATTAATCAATTCATGATCTATCAAACTGCTCATAGAATGCACTACTGTGATATGCTCTGGTGAATATGTTTCCCTTCCTTATGGCAGTCATTCTTATTATTATTCTGTATATATTACTGCAAAAAGTTGCTGACGCTAAAGGCCTAACGATAAGTATGCGTTGGCTCGTTTAAGAACTTCTGATTACATACTGTTTGTGTAATGATTCATTGGGATTGCTTAGTCTATTGCAATTGTATTGTTTGGATGTGAACGATGAGATCTTATGTGACATTTTGTGGCTATACCGATCACTCAGCTTTAAAATTTGTTTCCATCAGTTTCATACATTGGTGTTTGTTATTTTTGCTCACTCAGTTCGTTCTTTGATTTCTTTCTTACTTTTCTTTTTTTCCATTTTATCTCTTTTCCCATTGTCACATCAACTGCAGTTTCTTTTCCTTACACACGACCTCATACTAATAAACATTTATATATAATTACAACTCATTACGAGTTCAGGCCTTTCTGTTATCACTAATATCAGCAATAAATATGTCGTTACCGAATTTGAATACTGATGTAAAGATTGAGAGAATCGGTGATAAAGCCTTGATGTAATGCAGTTTTTCGTCGTATTCGGATGAATTATAAATGTGCCAGATGAAATTGTGATTTCGACTGAATCTTCAGACAGGTCTTGCAATTAACATTTGTAAAATCCCGACCGCTTTTCAATCCTGGTATCGAAATCAAGATCCCGGGTCTTTTTTCAGTTTCGGAATTACCCTGGAACTCAGCAACTTACAGTTCATTGTTGTTTTGAATACCCAAGTGAAAAACGCCATAACAATGACGGTCTATCATAACACCACAACTGCACTAAATACTAATTTCCCGACCCCCGACAGCCCCAAATTACCCAAAATGGGTATATTGTTCCAAAGAACCACTGTTCTTAAATCATTAAGGCTATGTTGTCGACAGAAGATTACCTACGCAATCAGAAACGTTACGAGAATGTTCAACATTTCGACGTTATGCCACCTTCAAAGATGTTCCTGAAGATAGCATAGCGCCGAAACGTTGAAAATCCTCGTCATATTTCTGACTGTGCAAGTAACAAAACAGGAGATATAGGCATTTTATTAATACTATTAATACGCTTTCCTCGAAAAATAGCTATCCTCAATAATAATTTGG